CGACCAAGCAATTGTTCAAAAACTTCTGATACTCATATAGCACATGCATGAGTTTCACAGTCATGATGTTGAGCAAAAGAAGCCAACCCACCAAAAAGTAGTGTTAAGGTTTACACATGAAGTCTTCCCCCAAACAGTTCATGTACTGAGGGCCTGATCCTGGCTGCTGCCATTACTTTGGTAGGTTCTGGAAACTTCAGCAGAGCTGAGCTGAAGGAAATGGATTACTGGGGGCATGTCCTTGAGGGGGCAGATATCTTGTCTGGAGACTGTCTCTCCTTTCTTCTTTCTTATTCTCCTCTCTCTCTCTCTCTCTCTCTCTCTCTCTCTCTCTCTCTTTCTCTCTCTGTCTGTCTCTCTCTTTCTAGACCAGCATGAGATGACCAAATTTATTCCTCTCTGCCATGATGCTCTGCCTGATTATGGCCCCAAAACAACAGACCCAACCAAGTATGGACTGAATGAAGCTTTTGAACCTGTGAGCTAAAATAAGTACTTCCTCCTTTTAAGTTTCTCTGTCAGGTACTGTCACAGCAATCAAGCCTATGTATCAAGAACAGCCAAACTAATTTTGTGTGATAAATAAGGGCTATCTGGTGGAACAGAGGTGTTGACTGAGAGGGAGTACAAAAGAATCTTCTAGGGTGACAAAGTATTCTGTGTCTTAATCCAGTGGTAGTTACAAAGATGGTGATTATCTATAGACTTAGATATTCAAGTTTAAGGTACTTTTTGTTAATTTACATCTTGGTTTTCTAAAAGTAATAACCATAAATAAATGGTGGCAACTCATACAACGGAATCTTTTTCAACATAAAAGAAAATAAGCTATCAAACCATGAAGTCACGGAGGAACTTTAATGGATAATACCAAGTAAAGCCAAGCCAACGTGAATAGTCTGCTTACTGTATGATTCTAATTATACATTTTGGAAGAGGATGAGTAGATTGAGCATTCAGATGGTAGAACTGTTCTACATGATTTTAAAGCAGTGGATAAATATCACAGAATTGTCAAAACCCATGGGACATGAAAGCACTAAGGGTGGACACTGACATAAACTATGTACATCAGATGACAACAATGTGTCAATATCTGTTGGTCAGTTATGATAACTATAACACAGTGAAATGGGATGCTGGTAGTGGGGCTGGAGTGTGTATGTGACAGGAGAAAGGACAGATGCTAACTCTGTAATTTCTATTCAGTTTTACTGTAAATCTACAACTTCCCTAAAAATTGAAGTCTATTTCTTAAAAGCAATCACTTCCCTGACACAATAATTGATCAAAGCAAGATCATCAATGGATGCTAATATTACAAAAAAAAAGAGAGACAGACATTACATGCCTCCTGATAAGGGTATATGATAACACTGGTGAGACATTCTTGGAAAAAAGAATTTTCAAAAGGAAAGACAAAGATGCGAAAATACAATTTTTAAATCTAACTGTATTTTAGGGGAAATGATGGCAGAGAACATGCTGAATATCACATGAAGGGTGTAAGAAGCAAAATCCAGAATGCAAAAGCTCCAGGGGAAAAACTAAACCAGTTTTTTCAACAAAAATTGAAATGAAGGAAAAAAGAACACATAGACTAGAATTTAAGAATCACACGAACCGTGTCATCATAATTCTGTTCTGGTTAGAACAAACTAGTAAAAATGAGACAAAAATAGCATGAAAGTGAAAAATAAAAACAGGGACCCAAATATATGTATACGCATGCTCAAGGTGGCATTAGTTACACTAGCCAAAAGGTGGAAACAACACAAATTCTATCAACAGATGAATAAATAAATTGTGGTAGATGCACAATGTGGATGAACCTCAAAAAATATACTGCTAAATAAAAGAAGCCAGACACAAAGATCCCATATCACATGAATAATTCTATAAGAAATGTCCAAGATGGTATGTTGCACACACCTGCAATCCCAGCACTGGGGAGCCTAAGGCAGGAGGAATGCAAGTTTGAGGCCAGCCTGGACTGCATAGCAAGGCCTTGCCTTTATACCCAGAAGAAGGAACCTCATAGAAACAGGAAGCAGACTGGTGATTTGTCAGGGCCTAAACAAGAGGGGAAATTGAAGCTAAATGCTTAAAATCACTTTGAGATAATATTTTGGAGTTAAAGATGGTGATTATGTAATATTGTAAATTGTTTTAAAATCATTAATTTTATGTCATGTGATCTTCACTTCAATTAAAAAATCAAAAACAGAAGCAATTATGATCTATTTTGAGAAATTTGGAAACTGGATCTTTGGTGTATTGAAGAATTTTTGGTAATAAATACTTTTGGCATGACAATGGTACTGTGGTTGGGATTTTTTAAGTCTTTACTTTTTTTTTTTTTGTCTTTTTGAAGCAGGGTCTCCATGTAGCCCCAGCTGTCCTGGAACTCACTATGTAGACCAGGCTGACCTTGAACTCACAGAGATCCACCTGCCTCTACCTCCCAAGTGCTGGGACTACAGGCATGCGCCACCACACCCGGCTATACTTTTAGATTAGTTGCTAAGATTTCATTCAGTTTCAATTATGGATTCAGTTATATAATATCTGGGAGTTCTTTCAAAATAATCCAGTGTAGGGGTAAGTAGAGGGAAAAGGTGACTGGCAGTACAAACCACAACCCAACTGCTGCGAGTTCATTACATGTTATCATTTGTGATGGCTAATCCCAGTGTCAACTTGACTGGATCTGGGATTAACTGAAATGAAAGAGATCTTCTTGATTGGATCATCTGAAACTGGAAGACACGCCCTAAATGTGGGTGTTACCTTCTGATGGCAGCCCGTATAAAAGACCAAGGCAGAGGAGAACGCCATGCTTCTTGCTGCTTGCCTTCTCTCTCGCTGGTGAGTTCGTCTTGCTGCTGTAGACTGAGACTAGCTGATCTTTTGGAATTTGTCAGACCTTCAACGCCAGATCAGGACTACTGAGACATCCAGCCTTGTGGACTGAGCGACTACAGATTCTCAGCCTCTCCAGTGTGGTGCAGCCATTGTTAGACTACTCTGACTCTATCCTGTGAGATAAGCAGTGTTCCTCTATGGCCTGTGCTCCAGCTCCTGCCTCCAGGTTCCTGCCCTGAGTTCCTACCTTGGGCTCCCCGATGATACTGTGACCTAGGAGATATAAACCTAATAAACCCTTTCCTCCCCAAATTGGTATTGGTCAGAGTGTTTTGTCACAGCAATGAAGAAACAAACTAAGACATCATTACTCTCATATGTGGTTGATGTTTTATATAATAAACTTTTAAGATTTGTTTTCAAATATAATTAAGAAATCAAGGATTAGATTAGATTGATATTGCTTAGAATTTGTTAAGCCACTCAAACAATTTCTATGTACAACTAAATCTTTCTGGTAAAAACATGATTTGGTAGTACTCAAGTTTAAAGGAAAAACATGCCGGGTGGGGTGGCACATAGCTTTAGAATCCTAGCACTTGGAAAACAGAGGCAGGTGGATCTCTGTGAGTTCAAGGCTAGCCTGGTCTACAGAGTGAATTCCAGGCTAGCTGGGGCTACAAGGATACCCTGTCTCAAAAATACAATTAAAAAAAAAAAAAAAGGGAAAAACATTCCTGGAACCATGTTAAAAAGAAACTAAGGAAGAAACATGACAAGCTTAAAGAAAGTATAATAAATTTAATATGCATTTCTTAGAAGAAAGAACTTTGTATTGAAGCCTTAAGAAATTCTTGATTTGACTAAATATGATAAAGGTTAGCTATGGATTTAAGATCATCGGAGGAACTTTAAGCCTGGGTGTGCCCATCCAAACCACTCATTTTATTGCTATCAGGGCTCAGAAAGGGATAGCTGACTTATCAAACCAGCTTTTAAACTAATGAACATAGTATAGAAAAACGAGAAAAAATGTGGCTGGGCATGGTGGCTCTTGCCTTAATCCCACCACTCAGGAGGGAGAGGCAGGTGGGATTTACCAGCCTGGTAAACACAGTAAGTTCCAGGCCAGTCAGGGCTACATTGTGAGACCCTGTCTGAAAAAAAGAAAAAAAAAAATGGGGCTGGAGAAATGGCTCAGCAGTTAAGAGCACTGGCTGCTTTTGTAGACCTGGGTTCATAGAGGCTAGTAACTCCAGGGCATCCAATGCCCTCTTCTGGCTTCTCCAGGCACTGCATACAATGGTGCATTTACATGCATGCAGGCAAAATACTCATACATAAAATAAAAATAAATTTTAAAAAAGGAAAATCCTGAGAAGACTTGAAAATATAGGGGAAAAATTCCCTTTTTTTTTGGTCTTTTTGAGACAGAGTCTACCCTGTAGCCCCAGTTGACCCGGAACTCACTATGTAGACCAGGCTGGCCTTGAACTCAGAGATCAGAATGCTGGGATTAAAGGCATGCATCACCATCCCTGGCATTGGGAAAAAAACATTCTTAATACTCCAATCCAAGCAAACTTCTTTTAAATTTTGGGAGTGTTTCCTCTCAGCCTTTTTAAAAAAACCCACAGGTCTGACTTTCTTTACCCACAAATATTAAAACATGAAACACACAGCCTTGTATATATTTTCCTAATATAATTCTAAGCATTTTCCCTATTAGTAATATCTTGGTAACAATTATTTTTAATAGTTTACTGGTTCAAAGCTTTGTTTTAGTTCACTTACTCATTCCTCTACAAAAGGGTGTTCAAATTTTCAACTCTTAATTATACATGATGCTGTATGTTGTTATGATCATATTTATATGTAAAATTTAATTATGGTTCGGAGTGCCATAAAAGTCATATTTTATTTTCTAAAAAGATAAAACTTTCTAATCAGTCTTGTTTTCCTCTTGAAAATTTTGGTACTGGACAAAACAGAGTTAAAGTTTTCCACTCTATAGATTGAGTTCATGAACTGTAAAAATGATAAAATATTCAGAACAGTTGACAACTATCCTCCTATTTGGGGCTAAACAATTTTTATATGTGTAGAGAGAGAAAAAAATTTAAATTATACACTACCTGTTGAAAAGCCTTTTCTGCTTGACGTTCAGCATCAATAACTTGTCTCTCTAGCTGTTGCATCTGTAAGGTGAAGGAGGATAAAAAAATATACATTTACATAGGCCTTTTGGTAAAAGGCTTTAAATCTCACAGTGTCATCATGAGTTTCACAAAAAATGAAGTGGTTCATTGGATATGAATTACAATTAACACATTAAAAGCACTTCATACTTAAAGATTGATAAAATGGCAAAGTATTGATATTTTTCATGCAATGTAATACATTAACTAGCAGATACCTTGGTAGCTCTTAGTGGTTGATAGTTCACAGCATTGATATAGGTCATTATTCATGTCCTTACGATGTGGCATTCCATATACCACAGGAATGCTCATCAACAGATTAGAAATTAAAGGTCAATACATACCAAAAACAATAAAAAGACTTCGAGTGTATTTAAGTGAAGGCCGAGGAGCTCTGCATTCTTACAGATTGATGGAAGTATATAAAAGACCGATTAAACACATATTATAGAGGATTCGATGCTAATTAACATAAGGGATGTGTGGAATACACTGCCATGAGGTAAAATTCAATTTCAAGTCTTTTTCTCTCAGGGCTGTAAGTTGGGCCAAATTTACAGGTCTGTGACTGGCTGAGCTCACTTTCACTTTCGACACCAGCTGTTGGCTCCCGCACGACCAAGCAGCAGGCTCGCAGATGGACCGACCCCTCTTCCTCCAGGCTGCACAACAGCCAGCCCTGAGCATGGCTCCCCGCAGGCTTCAGTCTTAAGGGGTCTGATAACCTGGGTTCTGATAAACTACATTTGGCCAAATTCACTTTCGACAGTGGGGTCTGGTGGTCTTCGCCCACCTCACAGTCACGGTTTGACGGGGCATTTCCCAAGGGACGCCCGTGGAACTCGGTAAGAGGATCAGTGTTTTCTGTATCGAATTCGGAGAACCCGAAATTAAAAATTCCTGGACCAGACTGCAAAAGACGGCCCAGACACTGTGGCCAGGTTTCTTAACCTTTTGAGGACAAGGCTATCTGGGCCACACCATAGTATCTGGCTGTGGAAGGAGGCATTGTCTTAGGTGTAGAGACGCTGAAGAGGCTTAACCTGCTTCTCAGTGAGCATAAAAACTGTAAAGATCAAAGAGTTTGGATTTTATGGTTTTTTGGGTTTTTTTTTTTTTTTTTTTTTTTTTGGTCTTTTTGAGACAGGGTCTCCCTGTATGCAGCCCCAGCTGTCCTGGAACTCACTATGTAGACCAGGCTGCCCTTGAACCACAGAGATCCGCCTGACTCTGCCTCCCGAGTGCTGGGATTAAAGGCGTGCACCACCACACCCGGCATGGATTTTATCTTCTGATAAGCAGCTGGCAATCTGCCTGAAATTTTCTGTCGGTCTTGCAAAAAATGCTGAGGATCACAAGGGTAGAAATGTGTTTAACACAAAGTCAATCAGGCACCTTATTCAAGAGGCAATGTCTAATAACCCCTAACAAGTAGTAGAAGACCACTGTTCAGATAGAGCTGTTACTTTTAATAGACTGCCTCCCCACAAAACAGAAGGGACGATGTGTACCAGCTGAGGGTATTGCCCCACTCTTTCAATGACTTGCTGGTTTTCTTGCCTCCAGAAGATTCAAAAAATGAGTGAGGGCTGGTTTATAACTGTGCTGTCCAGACCACTTGAAATGTGACTAGTCAGTTAACTATCATGTAAATATCAAATACACACTTTATCCAATAATATCTATTGTTAGAAAACAGCACAAAAATGGCAAATATCTCTTGAACAGTTTTTAATATTAATTTCATGTTGTTCCACATTGAAATATTTTAGATACATTACATTTAATAAAATATACCATAAAGTTAATTTTACCTATTTTCATTTTATTTATGCATCCATTTGAAAAACTCAAAATTACATAGGTAGTTCGCAATATATTTATAAGAAATAATAAAGATGTAGAACACCTGTTGTCGCCACATGTAGCAATTTAACTGTCCAAATGACAGCACTTTTAAAAAGGTCGTATATTACAGGGAATGAGATTCACCAAGAAGTTTTCAATATTTGGATATGTAGATGGGTATATTCCATGTACCTCCCCTAGACCTTATATTTCAAACATTTAATGAGATTAAAGCATTGTATTGCATTTTTATTTAACTAGGCACTACACAGAAGCAACTGGACAAATATACCTTTTGGGTATCTCTAGAAGTTTCCATACCAAAAGACCTGCTTACTAGCAGACTCATGTCAAGACCACATTCTTCCACCACTGGGAATATGCTGCTTTCTGCGCTAACTACATCCATTTTAGGGGAAATTTTTGTAATTCTGAAGCCTTAACCTATGTTTTAGGTAACAATGAAATTGCAAGGAGAAACAAATTCACAAATCCTTGCTCATCAAATTTTGCTAGTTAAAAAAATTAATATTTTCTTCAGAGACTATGTAAATATATGGTCTGATTTTTTTTTTCCTTCTGAAATATTTGGTTTCTGAGCTGGGTAAATGACTCAGTGGGTCTTGTCATGAAACTGAGGACCTGCATTCAGATTCCCCAAACCTATGTAAAGCTTGCCATGGTAGCATTCATCTATAATCCCAGCACTCATACTGCCGTGAGATGGGAGGCTGAGACAGAAGAATCCCAGGGAGTTTACAGGGCAGCTAGCCTGGCATACCCAGAGGTGAACAAGAGACCCAAGCAAAAATACAGTGGAAGACAAGGACTGACACCCAAAGTTGTCCTTTAATCTACACATGTCACATGTACCCAAGCTCACACAAACATGCACACACATCACACATACAGACATATCACACACACACACACACACACACACACACACACACAGATAAATATATATATTTGATTTCCAGTGATAACTGGAAGGGCAGAAGTCAGTCTCTACTGTTATATACCTAGTACAAGTCTTCATACATAGTAGATATTCAATACATTCCAAATTATTGATGAAAAGACAAAGCTGTCACCTGTAAGTATTGTGCATTTAAGGATAGCTTTGGTTAATTCTAATTGTGGATTTGACTGGATGAAGAAATGCCTAGGCGATTAGTAAAGCACTCCTCTGGGTGTGTCTGTAAAGGTATTTTTAGAGCTGATTAGACCCAAAGGGCTCTGACCTAATGAATGGATTAAGCCCTTGATGGATTTATAATATCATGGCCTTATTGGGAAATGGTGAAAGGCAGGAGGTGGGACCTAGTTGGAGAAAGTAGGTCATTGGTGGGGGTGGAGGAGTATGTTTCCTGGGCTTTTTCTGTATTCCCTCTCTTCTGCTTCCTGGCCATCACAATGTGAACTACCCTGCTACTCAACATTTTCACTCCCTGATAGACTGAAACTCTGAAACTATGAGCTAAAATAAATCCTTTAAGTTTTTCTTTAAGGTATTTTGTCACAATGTGAAAAATAACTATTATTTTTACTTCTGGCAAATGCAATTTTTTTATTTCCATTCCTCCAGCACTATATAGTAAGTGCTGGAAGGAAGAATATCATGTGTAACATACTTCCTGATACCATGCCTTGCACACTCCAATTAGTCAATAAAATTCTAAAAACTTAGTAGCTAGCAGTAATCTTGGAAACAAAATGTCCATTATAGAAAAGCATTATACACATGCACACCATTTCCTCCTTATATACAAATGCATCATTTTAGGATACCATGATATGCAAATAGGCTAAATTTGTTATTGAACATGAAAATTCACATACATGTATCTTTAAATACAGGTTCAAAAAGTCACTTTTGCTATTTTAGTTTAATAAGTCATGGTACATGAAATACTAAAGGGAAAAATGAAAAAAGCTCTAAATTTGAAAACAAGATTTAAATTAGAAACTAGATTCCACCAGCTATGAGCAGTGTAATGATGGGTAAGTTCTTTACTGTACTGAATCTCCATTCCTTGTCTGTAAAATGAGATTGCCCTTATTTTACTGTATTTATGTAAAAATTGAATAGAAAGACGTACAGTATAGTATCAAATACTTTAATAGATGTCCAACTTTTTTTTTAGTCTTTTTGAGGCAGGGTCTCCCTGTAGCCCCAGCTGGCCTGGAACTCACTATGTAGACCAGGCTGGCCTCGAACTCACAGAGATCCGCCTGCCTCTGCTTCCCGAGTGCTGGGATTAAAGGTGTGCACCACCACGCCTGGCTAGATGTCCAACTTTTACATGGAACTTTTTGTTGTTGTTGTCTTTTTAAGACAGGGTGTCCTGTAGCCCTAGCTGGCCTGGAAATAGCTATGGAAGCCAGGCTTGCCTCTGCCTCCTGAGTGCTGGGATTAAAGATGTGTGCCATCACACCCAGCTATTATGAAGAATATTTAAAGCAATATGCTTCTATCAAACACATGTACTGCTTTTAAAAATAATTCCTTTTAGTTTCAAATAGACAAACTATATTTATGAGGTCTAGGTTTTAGTGCTTATTGTACTATTTACCAACAGTTTGCCACTGGATTCTAAAATTCTTATGTATAAAGTGGGGATAATATAATTTGCTGTATCATAAAATTTGAGGCTAGGCCAGGTGTGGTGGCACATGACTTTAATCCCCAGGACTCAGGAGGCAGAGGCAGGAGGATCTATGTGAGTTCAAGGTCAGTCTGGTCTACATAGTGAGTTCCAGGCCAGCTGGACCTACAGGGAGACCCTGTCTCAAAAAGACCAATAAATAAGTAAATAAATAAATAAAATTTGAGGCTAAAATTAAGAAAACAAAAGTAATGAAGAAAGTTTTTGATAACTCATTAATTAAGAAACGATGGTAGCATTTGTAATTTATAATCGGAATGATAAAACAAGTCACAAGCTTGTGGGGATAGCTCAATGATAGAACACGTATCTAGTATACATGACACCCTGGGTTTAATCTTCAGCAACACACACACACACACACACACACACACACACACACACACACACAAACAAACACACGCACACAGATGGGAGACAAGAGACAGGCAAGGAGAAAGCTATAAATGCCTAAAAACCAGTGATTTCTGCAAATATGTA